AGCATTTCACAGGCTGGCGCAAAGGATTTACCTAGCGTAACCTTCAGTTGCCGCAAATTATTTATCGTATCATCTCGGCTTTCTATGGAGGCTTCCTTGTGCCCCTGGTAAAATGTCAAGTGAATTTAGAGTTGATGTTGTGATCTACTGACATTTTCATCACTGAACTGTGTGACCACATTAAAAGGGGGCAGAGGGGGAAGGGCCCCCACTCTGGGAAAGAAATAATTAAGAGGAGCGTCAGCCTCTGCGCTTGGTCAAGATGCACCAAGAGCATCTTGGCGTGTATGTGTGCTGGAGAGCCACATTTCTTGTGCCTTGGAGAAAGGAGCTCTTGGATCGGAGAGAGGTGATTGAGAAGGCTCAGCTACCCGTTAGGTGCTCCGGGGACTTCCTTTTGTCTGCTGCCTGCTCTCCCCCTTTGTGACTGCCATAGCTGGGAGTTCATCCAGCGGCAAAGAGGATGCCCCATTTACGCAGCTCTGGCAGCCCGGCAGCACCCAGGTCACTGCATTAGCGATGCCGGGCACACTCATCTTCTTGCAACCCCCGCAGGACAGCTTTGTTGTCCCATGGGTGCTTGCCTGGGAGGCATTGTGGGCAGCTCCACATGACCTCGGTTTAAAAGCAGTTTCTGTTTCATCTCACGCCAACACGAGGGGGCTTTCCTGGCCCGTGCGCTGTGCAGGAAAGCTCTGGTTTGCTAGCCGGGCAGCCTGGGCGAGAGGCCTGGGCGGAGAGAGCGGCGAGGCACGAAGCATTACATCTCAGCCCAGTATGCAGAGCCACGCTTCAAAAATAATTTTCCATGCTACACAGAACTACTAAATGGATCCTGATTATTTTCGTGAAACATCTGGTCTGCAAATGAAGCTCTCTCCCGGGTGCAGCACAGGCTGGGCGTTCCACAGCGCGCTTTCAGAAGTGTGTTCGGCAAAGTGCGCACTTGCTCCAGCTTTAGCACAAAATCCCGGTCTCGTGCCAGCTCCCTTTTGGGGCGGGTTTGAGTCACCGCTCTCCGTATCTCAGCCTGTTATGGCTCTGCTTCCATGTTCTTTTAGGCCCGCAACTCATGTGCCAGTTGAGTTTGATTCAAATGCAAGACAAAGCGAAAGAGAGGGAGACCATGGAAGCAAAGAGAAGCTTTGACCATAGTCTGCTTTTTGTAATCATTTAGGTTAAAATGCAACCTGTCTCTGTGATGCATTGGCTTAGGAACATCACGGTGGGTCCGGCTGGCACTTAGGGTGCCAGGTGAGATACTCACACCCCGGGCACCCGCTCTTTAGTGGCTAGAGATGTCCTGTTTGGTGTTGGTTTCTTTTCCTTAAGGTTGCAGCCGAGGCTATGCTCAGGACTGCCGCATCCCCTCTCAGGTAGGTGGGCAACTCCACTGGGAGAAGTTTTACCGAGGGCAAAGCAGTTTCCGGAGCAGTAGCAATCACTCCCTTGGCTTGTATGTGGCCAGCTGCAGAGGGCTAAATTAGAAAACTTTTAATTGGTCTTGGATTCTCAGTTTTGTTTATGGAGCCCATCCTTTTAGTGACCGGGGGCTAATTTTATGGGTTAGGTTTTAAGCCCTGCTCCTGCCCCAGATGGTCATGCTCAGTAAGCCGTTTCAGACTGAAGAGGAGCCATCTGCATGGGTTAAAAGCGGTGGCACCAGCTCCCTCTCTCGCCCACATGTCGGTGAGCCTGTGCCTTCAGCATCTGTCCCGGGGGTCCTCCAGGAAAGATCAGTGAGCCCCAAAGCTTGATTGAGCGGGAAATGCCATCGCATGGGGGCTGCCGGCTGCCCTTCCCTTGGGGCTGTGCTCCTACGCGGTAACTGGTGCCCGGAGGGATGAGCGGGCAGGGGTGCAGACGACCCTGGCTCTGCCTCGCAGTGTTGCTCAGCTGTGCTGACTTGGGCAGGGCAGGATGAGTCCCTCTGCTCCTTTGGCAGCTGGGCACGTGCAGCTGGGCACAAGAGAGAAGGTTCCAGCGCTGGCCAACGGGCCGTTTCGGGGGCAGGCCTCCCCACCTCCATTTACACCGGGGGGGGGGGGGATAATTCGGGCACTTTTTAGGGCCGCGCTGTGCACGTGCAGGTGGAAGACGCTCGCAGGAGTCCTTCGCCAGGGAGGGGCCGCAGGGCCTTCCCTGGCCCGAGCATGCGCAGGAGGGTGCCCCGAGTCCTCGCCAGAGAGACTGGGTGGGCACGCTTCTCCTCTAATCTATTATTTGCAGAGCTGTGCGGGAACGGGCCTTGCTCTAGGCATGCGTAATGCTGCTGCACTCGAAAACGACCCCTTCATTCCAGGCCATCGCTGTAAAGTGCCTTAAGAGTGTTCTCTGCCGAGAAAAAGCCGACCGCCACCCTCTCGCGCCCGAACGCCGTGGCTAAACCAGAAGTCCTTGGGAAGATGGCCGCTGGGCTGAGAGGGACCGGAGGCAGTGCCCCTTCCCCCGTAACTGCTTTGTTCCCCACTGTGATCATCCAGCGCATCTGCTAATCATAACTTTGCCATTCCAGCTGCAGCCTACATGATGTTGTTTGACTTTGGATATTTGTTCGCCTTAACTGCTTGAGAACTTTGTGTTTCGTTTCTGTTCGTTCGTTCCCTGCTGATTCTCTGTCCCTGGATGGGAAAAGCGAGCTGCACTGTGCCTACGGAACGAGGTCCCTTGACTAATCCTCTTTTTCCAGGGCAGGAGCAGAACTTCCGATTCCAGCAGTTTTAGTCTAAACTGGAAGTTCGCACGGCTTCCCTCCCACCCTCCCGGGAAGCTGCTCAATTGATCCCGGGGGACGGCACGATTTTGGGAGTCGGCACAGAGTCTGCTTCCCTGTGCCCCCCCCTCGGCCTTGTCCCTCCCACCTAGCCGGGACCCTGCTAAATTGGGACCTTGCTTGCCGGGTGTGCCACTGAGGATGACGCGGGCCGCTTCCTGCCTCGTTCTGGGCAGTTGTGCTCTCGCCTTGCCAAAATTAGCTGCATGAGAACAAAGCCTGATGCAGTTGAACTGACGTGATTGCAAGAATGGAAGCTTCTGTGTTGGAAGGAGGATCGGACCAGGCATAGGTGAATGGCTGCCAAGCAGATCATGCTAAAGCGCTCACTCTAGCTGTGTAAGGGGAAGGGTCTCTTTTTTCCTTCAGTATGTTAAAGTGTGCCAAATCTGTAAGTATGGTCTATTTTTCCCATGTGGATGATGTACATGCCGATTTATCTATCTTGCCCAGTGCTCTGGAAAGTTTATCCTCTGCTTGAATGCAAAAGAAAAAAAAGACGCCCCTTCCTTTCCAGAAAGTGAGGTGTTTGGCCCTTTCTGGATCCTGAGGGCCACATGTTGGCCCCGCAGGACTGGTCTTCAGCAAGAGAAGGCCTCCATTTTAGGGTAGTTTGTGAGCTCAGCTCTCTGCTGCCGGGCCCTGTGCAAAGCACGCTTTTGTCCATTTAAACATTGCCTGTGCAGAACCAAGCGGTGTTCTCCCAAGCCTCCCTTATGGCAGAGACTGGGCGCGCTCTCTTGGCAAACCGCCTCCAGAATTAGCACCGCCAGCCCCACCCAGCGAGCCCTCAGCTGAAGATCTGCGAGGCCACGGAGCGTTGAAACCGAACGGTGGGCGGGGAGGTTAGGGCTGGCTCCCACAGGGGTGCCCAGCCGCCCAGCGCCCCGGCATGGCTTGCTGAGCTGGAGGACCAGGCAGGCTCCTGCGGTGGATGCTGGTGCCGCGGCCAAACGGTAGGCCGGGTGAGGCAGAAGCAGTGTGTCGAATTTCAGTTCCTGAGTGTTCGGCTCCTGCAGTGACGGCTGAACTCTGTGCACCACAGTTTGGGAAAGTGGAAACGCGTGTTTTCCGCTCCAGGAAGGTGCATGGTGCTGAGGACGGGGCTGGCCATGAGGACTAGACTGCTGCCCCGGCGCCAGACTCCGGGAGTCCCGCAGGTATGTTGGGATGGCAAGCCCCGTCATCCCCAGCTGCAGCTGGGGAAGGCTGCTCTGCACCCAAAGCAAAGTCCAGCATCTGCTTGCACTTCCTTCGCAGAACCTCCTGTGGCGAGTCTGCCCGAGGAGAGCCCAGGCTGTGCCGCCCCACCCTTGCCCCCCAAGTCACAGCCCTGGCGGGGAGAGGGCTGGGCGACCTGCCTCAGGCCGTGGGCTCCGGAGGGCACTGCTGGGGCAGGAGGAGCGTAAAAATGGCCGCGTGCTGCCCCCCCCCTCCATGTTGCGGCTCGCACTGCCTGTGACAGGAAATGTGTGAGAAGCCCCCGTGCTCTTGCATCCCCTCACGCAGCCCTTGGTGGCGGTGGGGATCTTTGCCGACACTTCTGCAAAGATGGAGACCTCACGGTTGTCCTGGTCCAGGCGGAACCATGCATGGCTTGCTGGGGGCAGGGCCTCCCCCACCCAAGGCCGCTGTGGCTGCGTGAATGTGAGGAAGCGGCGCACATTCATTCCTGGGGGCCTTCCTGCCACCGGCATCCCCTGGAATGGAGTGGATGTGGAAGGCGGCCTGGCATCCGCAGGGGTCCTGCGCACGCTGGCGGGACGGAGGCCGGGGGAGCCGGGCGATGCGTTGACTTCTCTGCAGTCAAGCATCGAGCGAAGCGAGGTTTGCAAAGGCAATGTTTGGGTGTATGAAAGCCACGCGGGCCTTTCATGTTCCTCTGAGCACTTCCCGGTGGAGCTGGTGGCTCGGGCTTCCCTCCACTTTGCATGTCCCCACAACTCTTGACCATCAGAGCGAACCGCTGGTGAAGCTCCAGAACCAAAGCGAACAAACCTTTCCCTGTTCCCCCTCAGGCTCACAGCTTTTAGACTCCAGGCATGTCTCTTGAAAACAGTGCAACTCACTTCAAATGCTTTTTGCCTTTCATTTTATTATTGCTTGTCACGCAATGTTCTTTGACAGCTTGCTCATATATTACCTGTTCCATTTTTTCCATTTCCCTTTTTTTGCATGCCGTTCCTCCTGTTTCTTCCCTTCCTCAAACCTCTGTTCCCGTGTGTAGACACAACGGCGACGACAGAACCGGCAGTTCACGGTTGGTATTGCATTCCTGTTTATCTTCTCTCTCAGCAGCGCTGAGCGGCAGGCAAGCCTGGGGAGAAAGTGGGGAGGGGCCGGTGGCGCGTCCTCGGAAGGCCGTGCTCCAGGCAGGTGGTCCCCGCGAAGAGGCTGCAGGTCTCGGGGCCGGAAGGGCACTAGCCTTCCCCCTTCTCTCGGCACATTAGTGCTCATGCTTAGCAGCCCTGCCATTCCCAGCCTCAGCGGGAAAGGCAGGCGTGTCAGCGCAGGGTGAGCGGAATGGCTTGGTTCAGCCGTCGGAACAGACGTGCCAAAGGCGTTGCAAATCGGGGCTCAGTTTCCCATCTGCTCTGAATGCCGTGACTGCGGTTCCCAGGGAGGCCCTAAACTGTGCAAGAGAGGAAGGGGGCTTTTCACGTTCTGAGGTAGTCGCAGGGCGTCACCTCCAGCAGAGGAGGGCGCGAGTAAGCCTCTTATCGGCAGCCTGCAGAACACACACTAGAAGTGACACCCTTTCCTTGCCCTTGGCCAGGGTGGGTGGGCAGGCAGGCAGCAAGCAACCCCATTCACCTGCTTCTGCTTGTGTCGCTGCAGGAAGCAGCCTGGCAGCCTTTCCCTCGCCAGCTTTGGGTGATCCAGTACCTTGTGCTCACGACCAGGTGGTTAAAATATTGGGGAAACAACTTTGAAACACAAATGTCGGACACCTGGCGATGTATGAATTAAAATATAGCTCCATATTTTTATTGCTAAAAGGCACCCTTCCTGCCTTAGGAGATGCAAGAAAGACCTTTCTGGGAGGATTGCCAAGACTGAAAGGGAGCCCCCGTTTCTAAGGCAGCCGTGCAGGGTGGGCTCAGTCAGGCCCTTTCACTGGCAAGCGGATCCAGCGGAATGTTTCACAGTCGGCGTCGCTTTCAGGCCCTGGGCCCACCTGACCCTGTGGGTGGCCTCCGGGGCTCCTTCCAGCTAGCGGAGAGCCTTTTTCAAATCCAGGCCCTCTGAGCACGTGCTCTTGCTCATGAGCAAGTCCTTTCTCTCAAATTGCACTTCCTCAGCCTCTGGGGTGGTGTCCTTGCCAAATATCTTCCCCTTAGGACAGTGCCCTTCATGTGTGATAAAGCAGTCCATAGAATGTCCAGGGGTTCGCCTTGATGCTGCAGCAGAAAAGTCAAATTCCACAAGAACCTGAATTGTCTGGCTTTCTTAGGACCTCTCCATATTTTAATCTGTCACCCAGTTATTTAACCATCTGGAGGGTCCCTGCTCTTCCTCTCGGAACTCACTTGGCGTGGCCAGCGGCCGCACAGAGCATGCTCCAAAGGGCAGCCACCAACAGACATGTGCAAGAGAGCAGTGGGATGTGAAGGAGAGTGTGGGCATTCGGCCCCCCGACCCGCTGCCCAGCTCTCTTGTCTCTCCGTGCTCTTTGTGTATGGGGGCAGTCCTCCAATCTTCACCCTCTTTCTTATCCAGGCCTCTATTTCCAACAAATGCCCTGGGTAAGATGGAGGGGAGAGGACGTGGCAGGCAAGTTCAGCAAGCGCTCTGGGCCCGCCATATCTATTGTGTGCTTGGTGTTCTGCAAGGCATATTTTCCTTTTTTGATCCTATTTGACAAAAATGGGAGCATATTGAACCCTTGCTGGAGCCCTGGAAGCCCAGTGGAAATCAGTAAGATTTCACCATGAAGCCTGTTCCAGAAACACCAAGTCCTGAAACGCAAATGGAGCCGATGCTCCTGGCGGACGAGCAGGGCGGTCCCTTTCCGCGGCCTTTGTGTAATGTCCAGGGATGAGCCGAGGAACGGCCCCGCGCTTGCTGGCTTCCCAGCGTGTGGAATTGCCTTGGAGATGAAAGTTGGGCGGCGCCTTTCCTGCATTCCTAACTGTCAAGCTCCTGGGAATTTTGGCATAACTGTTGGGTTTCTCATGGGTTCTTAAGCGTTGTTCAAACGTTGAAGTGTTGTAGTGCTCCCACTTGTGCAAAGGGATCTGAAGTTGCCAAAATGATAAACATGATCAGCAGCGAGTGGAAAGGAGTGGTGAGGCCCAGATCCCTGGCTAACGTCTGCCAGTGCTGGACAAATGATGCCATAGCTCAGCTGTTAATTCCACACATTGCAGATGTGGCACCATGCTTCAGGCTGGACTCGGGACCAATCCAGAAAGACAGCGGGAGCTGAAATGCACCAGTGGGCTGGACTTTGCTCCACAGCATCCCCGGTGAGCCACTGTGAAACATCGCTCTGTGCCCGCTTGCCAAGACTGCCAGCCCTTTATAAACCACAGATATGCAAAACTTCCCCAGCTTGTTCTGGCTCCCCTTGTTAACCGGACTGTGGTTCCACTGAGACCGCCCCTGATGGCAGGGACAGCCAAAACGACACAAGGAAACCCCGCAGTGCAAGGGATTCTGGAGCGAGAAAGCAGGCAAAGCTCCGTGGGCAAAGCCTCAGCCCCCCAGAGAGGTGAATTCAATATTCGGCTCTTGCTGCCGGGCAGAACGACTCGGGGTTTCTGCAACTCACCCCGAGTTTCTGTCTTTTGCCTTGTTCTAATGGAATAGATAGATGCTTGTTGAAACATTAGCTCCAATAATTAAAATACATAAACCCAATAGATTTTGAAGACATTCTGCTCCTAAACACTTCAGATTAAGAGACTCATTTGGCAGCAAGAACCTGCTGATTTCAGTCAAACGTCTCAGCATATATATGAGAGGACGCGACACCTTGGCAGGCTTTCCTGGGGCCTCAGACCTGTTGCAGCCTCAGTGCTCATCTTTTCCGGGGGTCTGGAAACTGAGCCACATTTAGAGAGATTTAGGCCACAACGGGAGCAACAAAACGGCAGCTGGGAGGGCTCAGTAGATCCGTCCATGGCACGCTCTCCGCCTGGAAATAAATTTCTCCATCCTTGCCCACCAAGAGCCCCTCTTTGTCAAGAGGGGCTTTCCCTGTTTGCAACCCCCAGGATTTCTTCCCAAGCTTGCATTGCCAGAGTGTGTGTGACGTTGACTGGGTATTTCTTGTGCATTGGCCAGTTTGTTCTGAACAATGTCCAACTGAGAGTAAGCATGTCTGTGGATGGTGAGAAATGCATGAAGCGCATGGTGACCTGTGAAACCAGGTGGAGCTCCTCCCAAAGCCATTCCAAAAGAACCTGAATGGAGCCCCCATGCCAGAAGGCTCTGACCCGAGAGGTGCACTCGAGGAAAGTTTTCGAGTGTGTCCTAACTTGAGGACTGGAAAAAGGAGCTTGCGTGCATGCAAAACTATAGCAACGGCCACCCTCCCTTTTCTCACAGCACAGGGGCTTCTGCATGGTCAAGTTTAAAGCACGAAGAGTTAACTCTCCAGTGGCACAGACCCGTGAACTTAAAACCTGCGCTTCCACCTGCGCTTTGCCCCCCTTCTGCCTTCATTGGCAGAGTCCCAATAACAGCATGTTCATGGTAGTGGCTTGGCTGCACTTCCCGTGCCTTTTCCAGGGTCCCGTTGCCCCTTTTAACTCTCCCTTCATGGTGCAGGTCCCTGTTGGAAAACTTCTATTCCCAGATGAGGAGGACCAGTGGGGGAGGTCTCGGGCTGGCGAGGCAGACCGAATGATTTCTGCGAGCCAGCCCGTGCTGTTTGGGGAGCTTGGATCTGTTCTTTCTAGCAGAAATAAGCTCCCCAAGAAATCGGCCGCCCTCTCTGAGGCCCTGTTTTGTGCATGGTGCCAACACTGCCCTTAGCCTAATATGCCATGTCTTTGACCAAGAGAAGCAAAGAGATAGTTTAAAATCCAATGTGCGTTTCAGTAGCACTACTGAATAAACCAACACGCTGTTCCCAAAGACTTCCTGGTTTGATGCCACACGTGAGGCTTGTGCATGATGCCAGGAGACGTTCTCCAGTAGCGTGTGGCGCAAATGCAGTGTCTGTTTAAACATGCAGAAAATCTTGGGAACTCTGCACTGTTTGGATCCCCCCGTTTTCTCCTTCCTCTTCCTCTGGTGTAAAGCAAAAGCTGCATAGCAGTTTAAACCCTACGCGTTTAACTGTGGCGTTGCGGGATATCAGAGTGCAAGCGGATGTGCTTGAACTGCCTCATGTTGCCCCCACACACCATTCTTCCAGTGCAGGAACACAATTGACCACTCCAGGAGCACCCCTGACCAAGCGCTGTTTCAGTGGCCCTCGCTCTGCCAGCACACATTAGCTGGGGACAAAGGTTATTTGTAGCCACACCGTCCATCTGCACAAGGGAGGGAGACCTCCGTCAAAGAAACCTCCGTCATCCTCAAAGCTGATAAAGCAGGTCAGGAGTAAGGGGGGGGGCGGGTGGTAGGATCCAGGGAGTGGAGTAGATAACCCCAAAACACAAAACAAAACAATATATTTAAATGTGAAAGCTGGACCATCAGGAAGGCTGAGCGGCAAAGGATTGAGGCCTTTGAATTGTGGTGCTGGAGGAGATTCCTGCAAGTCCCTTGGACCGCAAGGCAATCAAACCAGTCAGTCCTGAAGGAGACCAACCCCAACTGCTCTTTAGAAGACCAGATACTGAGGATGAAGCCCAAATACTTTGGCCACCTAATGAGAAGGAAGGACTCCCTGGAGAAGAGCCTGATGCTGGGAAGGATTGACGGCAAAAGGAGAAGGGGACGGCAGAGGATGAGGTGGCTGGATGGAGTCACTGAAGCAGTGGGTGTGAGCTTGGGTGGACTCCAGGATGGTGGAGGACAGGAAGGCCTGGAGGAGTGTTGTCCATGGGGTCGCGATGGGTCGGACACGACTTTGCGACTAGCAACAACAACAACAACGTTCTTGGGCTTCTTGAAGAACAAGCGACTTGGTATACTTGCTACCAAACCCTTGAATTTTAACAGATAAAACACACCATAGCAGCCTATGACTAACGGGAACATTAAAATGTGCAATGATTATGGCCATTTTTAAAAAAAAGCATTCCAGGAACAAAACATCACTGGTAGCTAGGAAAGATCTGTAAACATAAGAATATATTTGCTGAGACTATGCAAGGAAGGACTATTGACCATGGGGAAATCTTGCAATTCAGCATTGGGTCAGTCCCTAAAAAATGCAAAACAAAATCTGTCTTGAGCTGGATGTCCCACCAGGCGTCAGCCGGAGGCCGTGGGGGGCCCGTGTGCAGGACTGGCCCGCAGGAGCGCGCTCCGTGCTACGGTGCAGCCTGTGAAGCTGCAGGGCTCGCCAGCAGCGCCTCTCTGAGTCGGTGGCGCCCCCTTCGAAAGCCACCCCGGCTGCAGTCATCACTCCAGCTTGGCCACAGAGCCCCCCACTGGTGCATTCGCCACCCTTCCTTCTGTTTGCCCTGCATCTCCCCCACATTCGGCCTCCCGGGATGACACTGCTGGAGTCTGGCAGTGAGGGAAGATCAGGATTGCTCCTTGCCCGTGTTCTCCACAGCAGGTGGCACTTTTAAACCTCTCCCCTTCCCCCTTTCTGACCTAAATAGTCCCAAACGCTGCAAGTGAGCCTCATATTGGCGGTTTCGCTTGCAGCCCGCTCTGTAATGGCCCACAACCGAGCGTCTGCCTTCCCCGAATCCATGCCTTCCTCAGCCGCTGCCTCTGCTGAGACCCCGTCCGTGTGGCTCGCACGTTTTGCCCCAGAATGCATCTCTCCATATTTGCTTCTGCTGACCTGCAGTTCCCGTCTGAGTTCCCGTTTCCCCTGCTTGGAGAGCTCCCTTGGGACAGCATCGTTGTGGCACCCGCATTGTTTTAACTACGTGTTAAATGCCGTGTGGTTGTCAGCAAGCTTTGCACCTTAAAAGAACTCCTTCAAAAGTGCCACGTCCAGTAAAAACCCTTTGAGCACCCCACTGCTTCTGTCCCTCGGTTGGGAGGCATGCCCATGGGTCCCGTTGCTGCTGTTAGTCGCGAAGTCGTGCCCGACACATCACGATCCCCGGACAACACTCCTCCAGGCTCTCCTGCCCTCCACCGACACTCTCTGCTTTGTTCTTTGACCTACACCTGAGAGGACCTTCTTTTCTTGCTCCATACGGCTAAATTTGCTCCGGGGTCTTAGTTGCAGAACTTAAGTAGAAGCCTCTTGAAAGGCAAGGTAAACTCTGTTTCTGGCACTTCATGGACCCCTCGAGGCCGTCTGAATCAACTTGCACGACCAACTGTACTTTGGACCTGCGCACCAGACAGGCCTTTCCTGACCCGGCACCCTCCAGGTGTGTCGGACTGCAGTGCCAGCATGGATGCTTGTGCTGGTGGGGTTGGACAGCACTGGCACCCCCGGCGCACCTGGAGGGTCCTAGGTAGGAGCGGGAAGCTACCCGCCCTTCAGAATAGCGTTTTCTGAGCTTCGTTCTGATTTTAAGGGGAGTATAATCAGCTGCGGCGAGGCAAATCCACGTAGGAACCGGTGCAGAATGGTGGCATGCAAGACTCATGCCCCGAGAAGAGAAGTGGCTTGCTCACCTGGACACGTGCCCTGGCAAACTTGCTATTTCAACTGATCGTAACTTCTTTAATTCCAAGTGACAAAACAATTGTATGCAGCTGGAAACTTAATTCTCATTTATTCCGAAAGAAGTGCTGGAAATTGTGACTGCTTTCTAATAAAAAGAAGAAGAATATCTTTTAATAGTCAAATTGAAAAATGTAATGAGAAAACCAAGGCATAATTTGTGACATCTTTTAGAGGCCTCTTGGTTATTTCTTACGCCGTTCACTGCCATCTTAAGACTACCAGGTGCTAATAGAAATGGAACAGCTGAGCAGTCCTATTTCCTTCGCAAGGGTGGGTGTTAATAACAGACCCTTCATTAAAAAAGCACAATAATAAAACGGAAATGCTGTACGTGAAAAAATGAAAATCCTCTGAAAAGATGCCGTTTTCAGGAGACAAAGACAAAAAACAAACACACTTTCCAGAGGATCTATCCAAGAAGCTCTCACATTGCCCCACAAATGTGATCTTCAGGCCCAGAGATGCAGAGTTTGGAACTGCCGATGTGGCTTGGACAGTGCAGTTATTGTCACTAATCCAACAGTTTCTTTCTTCAGCTCAGAAGTAATCGGTGGATTCTCTCTGGCTCTCTTGATGCTGGCCTGGAGATAAACTTAGATTCTAGAGACAAGCCAGACCCGTTGCACAAAATGGGGCAGCCGAAGAGCAGGGCCGGAGACACGACGGCACTCTCGCCCTGCCGCAGGCTGCGAGGGAGCTGGGATTGCCCGGCTCCGGCTTCCTGTCAACCCCAGCAGAAGCTGCAGGATGGTCCGTGAACCTGCTTGTCTCAGCTCTCCACTCGGCACAGTCCGCCAGGAACACCTCCATTTACCATCTGCGCCGGGAAAACTACTGCAGACTTGCTTCCGATGGAGCGGAGCACTGGACCTCTGAGCAATTTTGACCTTTTCCACTGAGTGTCCCAGTGCAGAATGTCTAATGCTTTTCACTTTTATTAGCCATTGCATTGACTGCCTGTTTGCTGAGTCTTGCATTTAGGCTTTCTAAGCATAAGGTGCTTTCCAGGTTATGCTGAGGCAGAGAATTGCAGTACTGTACCAAAATATCCATATTTCTGTCATCACTCCAGTAATGGGGCCCATTTATCTTCCTGTGGTGAGCAGTCTTCAGGTGCTCATGTCGCCAGGTTGCAACGGCTCCTAGGAGATGGGCAGCAGCAGCTCCCACTAATGAGTTGGCAGCTGCCAAGGTGTTCGCAGCCGTCAGTTGCTAAGGTCTCGCAAGTGGATGTAGATGGGCAGAAGAGACATGTGCCCAAGGCCACTTGCCGAGCGAGGCCGGCACGGGCCTCCCCACGTGCAAAGAGGCAAGCGGACGCTTCCCCCCCTTTGGCTGAGGAATTCTGCAGTAATTTAAAGGAATTCGGAACCTGCTTGGACACACAGGCCCTCCGTGCAGCTCTCCTAAGACAAAAGCTTCCCGGGCACCGTTTTACGCTGGCTGTTAGCCTGGTATCATCTGCTCCCTTCGGCAGTGGCTCTCCGAGATCTCAAGCAGTGAGCGGAATCTTTCCCAGCCTTTGGAGCTGCAGTCCTTCAGATTTCAGGGCCCACGAGGAGTCGCGGGGCTGCCTGTGGCAACGAAGGACCCTTCATTGGCTCGGGCGGCACACACCATTTTGAAGTGGTGGCGCCCACCCATGTGCGTCTGCTCTGGGCTCACAGGGGCCGCATTCCAATGGCTGGTCCACCTTGCCTGGTTTACAGGAGCATTTTGTAGTCTTAGCAACTGAGTGACTTGGCAGCTGCGGCCTACGCGTCCGGCAAAGGGCCCCCTTAGGCCCCCGCACGGGCCAGTTGGCAGCACCATGTCTAAATGCCGGCTTTTTAAGAGCTCGGTGCCGTGGTGCATTGGCAAGGTCGGGGAGACAAGGCCGGTCACACCGAACCGGGCAATATTCTCTGTGGACAAACGGAGCTTAGCATTGCTCAGAAGGGTCCACTTACCTCCAGACTTTCTCCTGCTCAAACTGTGCCCCCCAGAGTTGCTTTTCTCATGCTGAGAAAGGGCAAGGATGCGCAAGACGGTCCCTCGGAGGCTGCATTTCTGAGATGGCGACGCACAGGAGGGGAGAGGGGCTGAGCACCCCAAGATTCCTGCTGCCGCGCTCTCCGTTGCAGCCTTTGGTGCGGCTCCCTGCATAAAACGACTTGCCTCCAAGAGAGAGAGAGGTGAGCATCACACGACAAGCCCCCCATCACCTCCAAACCTGCTGCATTGCCTCACAGCACTTGGCAAGGAGAAGTCCCCCTGAACTGCATTTCCACAGAATAATATTTTTTAAAACAAACGGGGAAGGGATCGCTGTGAGAACCAAACAACCGTGTGTTTTGCCAACAGGTTTCTGCAAGCTAAATTTTCTGAAAGGCTTTGCTGCCTCACTGCCTTGTCAGCTTTGAGATGACTTTCCTAGAAACAGACCGTTTGGGATTTTTCTAAAGTATTCCCTGTCAGGTTTCCCTCCTCCACCCCAAAAAAGAGAAGGCAAATTGCATCTCCACATATTCTTGCTGTAGTTTTGAAAAGTGCAGTCCAAGGGAGCCCGAGGAAAACGCTGGGCTCTTCACCAATGTTGCCTCGGGATTTAGATTTCCACTGGAACCTGGGAAACAATATGCAGCTTCGATGTATGTTAAAAAATAGAATTGTCGGCTGAAGGGATACATTGCCCTATCTTGGCAATTTCAACAATCAATTACGTGGGAGGAGGGGTTTTTAAATTATTATTTTTGCATGCTGTTCTGAATGAGTGGTTTTGAATGTTCACCTTCATGTTTCGTGTGTTTTCAATGGTATAGACGTAGAAATCTTTCCGACAGTTATGGGTTGGTTTACAAGAGGCCAAAAAGCAAAATATATTAAGTGATTGGAAAGTCTCATTTGCAAGTTAATCTGAGCGAAAGCTTTTGCCAGAGGGGAAGAGATTGTTCCTTTTGTTTTTCTTTTCCTGAGAATTTCATCCTCTGTTCTTAAGTGTTTTGTTTTCATCCCTTGAGGAACACAAAGAAAAATGAGTTTGTTTTTACTTGTAAGGCTTTACTCAGTTGCCAAATTCCGCGGAAGAGCTGGACTATGGGGACCTATCAGGTAAGGGCTAGTTTCCAGGTTAAGCCCATGTGGTTTTCCAGTCTGTGTGTTTGCTCTCCACCTCGTTTGCATCCTGGCTGCTTCTTTAAAACATCTGGCAGCTCTGGTGGGGCAGCAGCACCGCTGACCCGAGACGGAGGCCCATCCCGGAGGGTGGCTGTCCCTTCCCCCTTCCCCCTCGCTGGGAGAGCAACATGGGTTCCCCCCGCGCATGCCCGTACTCGAGATCTGGGGTGGCGGGAGGATGGGGCGACAGTTCTCTGGCCTTCCGTTCAGGGGGCCCAGTAGCCGCCCCGAGCTCTGTTGCTGGCGACGGTTTTTGGAAGCCCAGTTAGCAGACGGGTCGGCTGCTATGTGGTAAAACCCTCCGGGGTGCCAGGCTGGGGTGGGGAAAGGGGGCGTCTCCCAGGCAGCGCAGCGCTGAGTGTGGGTTGCCGGCGGATTGATGCAGCTGGGTTGCCTGCGTGGGGAGAGGAGGCGACGGCAAGTACTTCACTGGGCACCAGTCTGTACATGGATTATGCTCCATCCTTAGTACTTTATCGCAGAAGGTTGAGCATTGGCCAGGCGGAGATACAGATCTTCCCATTTGACCTCGTCGTCTCCTGGCCCCTTGGTGACGTGGGGCTGGCTATTTCGCACCCACAACAGCTCTCTGAGGTTGACTGGGTGCTGTGGAGCAGGGGCGGGAGTTGACCCCAGGCCTGGCGCACTATCCAGTGTCCCGCAGTGGTTCTGAGTTTATTTCCTAGTGGGAATTTGAGCAATCTAGGTTCAGAATCGAGCCCTTTTCTGCCTGAACATCAAGGTATGGGCAATGTGGATTTTTTTTTCTTGATGTGTTGATTTCTGCAGAGCACAAATGCTGCTACTGGTACAGCCCCACTCTTATACTGAACAAAATGTGTTTCCATTTCAGCATAAGAGAAGTGTGCTAAGCGGGAAATCTTGTTGTTGAGTGAAGGGAAGGTAGGGAGTTCATGCTCTTTAATCATACAATGACCTGCAAATATACACAGCCTGAACCCACACCAAGCTGGATCTGCTTGGACGGTACAGTTGAGTCACACGCAGCATCAAACAGGACGGATCTACCCCTGTTTTGTAACAGCTGGTTGCCCATCCAGCTTTATTGGCTTGATGATTTTGCTCAGGAAATGCATTCCCAGTCCATGAAGGTTGTTCAGAAGATTCCTTCCCCGATTTCGGTCCCCTCCACTAGCAAGGAGAAGTCGGGTTGCTGCTGGTTTGGCTTTCCTGTTCCATGTCCACACTGGTGGAGGCCTCTGGTAGATGCATGTTTTCCACGGCTTTCCTATTCTGAAATTTCTGTCCCAGTTCGGGTGGAGAGGTAGAGAGAAGGGCGTTAAATTCATGCCTCCTTCCCGGCCGGCATTAATCTGGCAACCTGACAAAGCCAATCCCGCTTGCACAAGGGAAGTGGTCTCATCGCATTCTCCACGCTTCAGCTAGGTGCATCCCCCGATTAAGATTTTCCTCCAGATACGCACGTTGTAGATCACAACACAATCAAAAGAGACCCGTGTAGCTCTTCCGTGTACTTTGATTAACTAATCAAAAACTGATTAGCACCTTTGTTCATGGGGGAAGCTGATTAATCAATTGCTATTGATTGTGAGCGTGGCTCTCTTCTGTGGCAAAGAGATGACTGGAGAAGCAGCCAATAAAAATTGAGCACCTGTCACAATGATTAAATTTATTAAAACAAAATACATTATTTTTTATGAAGCTATCCTGAGATGGGTCACTGAAGGAGAACATATTGATTGAGGGGGATGAACTCCTTGAATTTCTCTCACTTAAATTAGAGACTGAATTCAATTATAATGCAAGACAAACAGGTTAACGCCGGCTTTAAATAGCCCATCAATAAATTAGAATAGGTGCAGTACACTTAATGCTAAGCTGGGATAATGAATAATATTATCTGCTTCCAGTGCTCCTGGGTGTCTTTTTCAGCCTTTCTGGCCTGCCAGGGATGCCACCCTCCCCGTAGTTTCCCTGAAATGCTGGCAGCCCTTAGAAACCCACATGCCTCCTTCACTTACGTCCCTGTTACCAGCAATCAGAGTCACGTGCCCGGTTCTAAATGCCATCCGTGGCGCTCTCACGCTGACTTTCTGTCGGAGCCCCCATGGCTGCTGTTCCATTAAGCCTTCCTCTGAATTTCATGGGAAGGGACTAAAGGTTGACGAATTCCCGTAGCACTTAACGCCGGGCCAGCAAATGGGCTCCACATGCCCCTTCCCTTCATGGGGATATCGATGCCATCCCAGCATTGGCCTGAAGCGGCTGCTGCGTTGTGTCTGCAGAGCGACTTCTGCTGGCCCCTCGGAAGCCTGCGGGAGGGTCGAGCACCCGGGGCGCTCGGCCAGCTCTTTCGTCTTACACAACCGGGAACGAGAAGGGCAGTCCAGGTGCTTGGATGTCTAGGCCTGTGCCCGGAGCTTCCTCATGGTGCCTCAGCCAGTGGCATTTGGACATCCGCCGTGCTCCTTCGCACGAGGCACATGGTGCCGACCGGCTCGTGGCGGCAGCTTGGCTAGGTGGCCCTCCATGCCAAGCAGACCAGTGAGGCTGGGTGCTCCACAGAGTTGTGCCGGCAAGGCTTTGCAAGACGTCTGCAGGAGAGGGGACTTGTGGCGGGGCGCCCTCGGGATTAACGTACAGCGGCACAATGAGCTGCTCCTAGAGGACGGGGGGCTGCCAGGCGCACTGCCTTCCTTGCCCGGCCTTGAGCGAGGCAACCGGACCCTTTTCCAGCGTGGCAAGACGGGGGACTGCTGCTGTGAAGAAACGGGCCCTGCACCAAGGCTCTGACTTCCTCTCCAGATCTCCCAGATTTCAAAATCAAAACAGCGTTTCTTTCGCAAGGCCCCTAGAGACTCCCAGTGGCTTTGGCGACATAAAGCGAAGCGTTTATAGATGCGTGCGGAAGTGTCTGCGTGCGTGGCAAAATCAACCTGGTTTTAAAAATTCATTTCCCCTTAGAAATGGAGGCGCTGTTAGAACTTCTGTAGGAGGGAGCCTTAAATCTAAATGTGCCAAAATTAACAGCCATGCTGAGCCTGCTCAGAAGAAATCAATCAGACCATTTCTTTTATAGCGCAAATGTGCAGGGGAGAGCAAGTTGAGTCCTGTTGGAGTAGCACGCCCCCCCTCCCCCAAATAGAGTGCTTAATACCTTGTCTACATAACTTAGAGAAAATAGTTAACTGAGGAGGAAAACAAGGCCCTCTGGAGCGAATGTGGTAAATCATCGCAATAAAGCAACCTGTGTCTGCCGCTCCTTAAGTACTTTGCTGATATTGTGCCCCAGGTATTAGGAATCTAAGCAGTAACGCATCAAGCACGTGCCGCGGATCTGTGCCAGACCGTGTGGAAGAACAGGCGGGAAGGCTCTTCTTGCTGCGAGGAAGGGCTCCTCTCTGGCTGCGCTTGACAGACGCGTCACCGCGCCTGCCCCACATCTCACCCCTGCAAGGCTGGCTGGGATTGCGTTCACCGGACCCATTGAGCGCCCACTCGGCTGCCACAGGAGCAGGCCAGACGAGCACGCTGCGCGCCCCGGGTGCTTCTCGGCCAGACCCCTCACCGAGAGAAGGAGCGTTCCCCTGGCTCCTACTGCAGCGAAACACAGGAGACTCTGAGGACACAGCTGCTTCGGAGGACAACAGTCCTCTGTCCCGAGAGCCAGAGGATTTTAAAGGCGACCTCTGCACTGAGGACACAGTTTTCACCATGGAGAACACCAGATTGACTCAGTCACAATCCCTGCCTTTTGTAACAGTTGCTCCAGACCTTTCCCCCGTGAAGGGCGAGGTTGACCCTATTGGTGTGAGCTGATAGGAGTTGAAGTCCAAAGCCTCTGGGGGACTCCTTGTTGAGAAGGCCACTCGGCCACTACGACTACTGCAATTGCGACCACTGATATTCCCGGTCTGCTCTGATGTTGCAGGAGAAAAGGTGGGAGGGACGCCAAGTTTTGGAACACGAAACCCAACTAAAGTAAAACAAGAAACATCTGTTAAAGCGGTAACCGTTTTCTGACACGAAACTGGAGCAAACCACCTGCAACAAATGCACCTGTACTACGGATGGATGTGTTTGGGCACTGTGCCGCAAAATGCCCCCCTCGGGGACAGCTGTGCGTGGGCTGCCCCCCGGCACCTGGAGCTCGAGCACTGCCTGACCCCACGGGCCTCTGCAGCAGCTCTCGGCAGGGTCCTCGCCCACCGTGGCCACCCCCGGAAGGCTCCTCGGAGGAGATGCCGGTGTGCTCCAATGTATATTAACATCTTAATGGAAAAGCCGTGCGTGTATATACGTTTACGGCTCTGTCTGACAAGAGGGAATTAAATGTCAGAAGGATTTGTAGCATCTGTAATTGAATTGGTGCTGAGAAAAGCAAATCTTAAGGAAGAATAACGCATCAGGATTAGCAAATAATGTGGTGCTTTGTCAGGGCCGCCGAGGCTGCCCCCCATACCCCACCGGCGACTTCCACCCCCTCCCTTCTCGCTAAAGAGGCATTAACCAGGACGGCAGTTTTCCGCTGACATCTATTTTTAGGGTCAAATATTTGTTTTGAAAGCAAACAGTGATGGGTCCACACACGCCCATGCACACCTGCCACTTCTCGGGCGTCATTCTCTCGGGAGTTTGCCTGCCGGCTGGTCCGTGTCAGTCCTATTCGTACAGCGTCCCTGTGCTGAACCAAAGAGGTGTGGCCATGAAATAATAATAATAATAATAATAATAATAATAATAATAATTATTATTATTATTATTATTATTAGAACATTTCTATGCCGCCCCTTGCCGAAGCCTCGGGGCGGCTTACAACACAATAAAATACAATACAATATAAAAATAACAATATAAAATTAAAATTAATAATATAAAATAAATAAAAAATATAAACAATATAAAAGAAGTTATAAAAGAAAAGTTATAAAATAAAGGAAAAGAAGTCTGTTGGGGGCTCATTTTAATCAACTATAATGTTTTCATACAGGATTTCCACAACCTGGGAGCACATGCTCCCCGCAGAAAAGCTGCAGCACACCTATTTTTATGCAGAGCACACACCATCAAGAGTGTTTTTGTGTGGCAGCCCCACAAGATTGCAGCACGAGGTTGTTGGCTTGTTTCGTTTCTCCTCCTTTTCTGAACTCACTTGAGTATGAAAAGTCGAGTCTCTTCATGGCATTTTCTGTTTCGGAGCTGCAGGAGAAACCGCATGCAATTTCCCCGGAGCTGTTCTCGCCCCTCACACATGGGGCTGCCCCCCAAAGTGCCCACAAGGGGGAGGGGCTGAGGCACGGGGGGGGTTTGCTTGTGTCGTTCCCCCCTCCCCAGAATGCCCTCCCTCCCCACTGGCTCCAGAATTGCAACCTCCGAGCCGCAGCTGGCCTGGAGAAACCACACTGGCTCGGAGGGTGTGCCAAATTTGCAACACCAGCTCTGGTCAGGAAGTGCTTTTGGGGATTTTGAATTTTCCTGCACACGTGGTGGATGTGGCACGGACCCACCGCTGCCTCACCAGCCGTGGCAAAAGGACAGGAGTGCGCAGAAGACCTGAATGTTGCCTTGAGAGGCTATTGAAGTTGATTAACGTGACCCTTTCGGTGGAATGACTCGGCCGCCCGCATGCAGGCAGGTTGTAGCTCCCATCCTCTGACGACCTAAACAGAAACACGGGCCTGTTACCCTCAGAGGCAAAAGGGCAGCCTTGGTGGGCTCCCCAGGGCAGTGCTCCTTGGTTTGTGAGCACCGGGGGTCCTTGCACACAGCCGTTAATTTTTAATTAACATGTACACACAAAGATGGGATACTTAGCCATGCACAAAATAAAATCAACTCAAGAGCGTGCACTCTGCAAAGCTGCTGTTTTCAGAGCAATAATTAAGAAAAATGGGAGTGCGGATCCCCGTGGAAGGGCTAAATTTAATAAGCTTTCCCGGCCAAAAGTGCATGGCAAATCGTAGAGGGCGCCTTTGGGAAGAGCTGGCTCCGAGCAGAGCCACTGCTGTGGGTTTAATTGCGAGTTGAGCAGCAGCCATGAGGACCTGGTCGTGGAGAGCCGTGGACACAGTATTTCCTTCGGTACATGGCAGCCCAGATGCTTGGCTGGCAGGAACCCGTTCGACACCAGCGAGCTCGGCTTCTGCTCTGCCAGGCGTGCATCCACTGAGGTTCCGCTGCTGCTTCTGCAGAGGGCTCCCTTGGCCGGGAAGAATGCGCTTCAGTGCTTCCTGAGCAAGGTCTGGTGTGTGCTGGATCCAGCGGGAGGGGAGGAAGCGTAGGTGGAGGTGACTTTTTGGACACTCACTCTGGGATTGCCAGTCCTCAGCCGTTTGAGGCCATTTATCACAAGGAGCAAGATTGTCTTCCTAGTTGAGGGAATCACTGTTTCCGTGTTGGAAGCCAGTACCCAGCTTCCTGCTCCACAGCCAGAGATGATGGAAGGATTCCTCGGCAGGAGGGTCGATGGTTGGTTGGTTGGTTTGCTCGTGGTGACCGTTTGAGATTCGTCATGTGCAATGTCTCGCAGGCCAGCACCATTCCCCAAGGTGTGCTGTTTGAGCAGCTCAAACATCTCGTCCACCAATTGCGTGGGAGCTGTGCAGTGATGGGCTCATTTAGCTCCAGGGGAAATCGGGATGCAGAGCCTGGCTCCTGCAGGTACGACGCGGATGTGGTGGCCTCTCTGCGACACGCCGGCGCAACGCTCGCGGTCGTCTTGCATCAGCCACGCCTGCGGGGAGGGTGTCGCACGTGCCCGGTGGATGTTGTGGAGGCCGCTCGAGTTGCGAAGCGCCCGAGCTCAGTGGCTTGCTGCCGCCGCTCACTGTGACCCATTTCTCTGTGCCCTGACATGAACCCAGATGCTACTCTTCCTGGGCTTAAAAGATGGTTTGGGAGGGTGGTGGTGGAAGGGCGGGGGTGCAGGTCTGAAGGGCTCTTCTCTTAATGGAAGCTGCTTTTAATTAAACTGCTTTTTACAGCAGGCTCGGTCACGAGTTATTTATTTGCATCCTTTGGTGCTTAATCTCAGAGCAGAATTGGAAATATCAATAGAAGGCATAAATTCCAAGCTCCTGCTGAAAGCATTGTATCAAGTCTTACCTCCAAAAAGCACCATTACCTTTAGCTGTCACGGATCTGTACACTTGATCGATAAACTTCAAATATTATTAGAAGTGCAGACTTCAGAGATTGGCTCTGTTCTTTGGAGAGAGATTGAGATAAATCTTTCTTAAAAATGGACTGGAATTTGCACACTCGCTCTTCCTGGTGAAAAACATTTCTCTTAGGAGGCCGGGCAGCTGTAGGGGTGGGGGAGCAGGACGGATTTATTGGCTGTGTGCTTCTTGTAGTGAAAGATTTAAATGGTAAATCCTTCACATATGACTTCACAAATCATGTAAAGTTAAAGGAATTTTACCATTTCTGTTGCTGCTGTGCTTAAATTGTAAGGGATGGCCAGTAAATCATTTTAATGGAGGTGTCAGGGTGGAACTCAATAAAAAAGAGCTCGGTGACAATGGTTTAGCTTCCATTCCAAAATGTTAATGTATTAATCAACGAGAGAATAATTGTTTTTTACTACATTATAAATCTTAGTTGCCATTAGAACTGCAAAGAGGGCTGCGGTGGCCACATTCTTAAATTAAAATTGTTTACATTGCTATATATTAATTTTACACAGCCGTAGCTCATTCTGGGTTCATTCTGGAGTTTCTCCCCTGGAAGGAAGTTATTCTTCTCTCGAAGGAAGGCTCCCCATGAGGGGGAGGAAGGGGAGGAGCGGCCCATGAAAGCAAATTAATTGCACGGCAGTTGTTAACTAAAGCAAGCAGGCCGCAGCAGGGGCAGCTTGCGGCCTCCCCTCTGAAAGGGCCTGTGGCTGGGACGGGGGCGGGTGGGTTCTGTTCCCTGCTGTGTCAGGGGAGGTGGAGAGGCTAGTGGAGCTGAGTGCTTGGGGTTTGCGCGCAGCATCCCTCCGCCCCTTCGCGTGCGCCGTGGCCCGTGCTTGGCCAGGCAGGTCCTTGAGGAGCGTGGGGTGGGCGGGGTCTCACCTCGGGGTTGCACATGTATGGGGACATGGAAGGTGCCTGGTGTTCAGGGATGCTGCATTCCCGCTTCCGCGTGCTTCGCTAACGCCCGTGCAACCCCCCGACTCGCCCCACCGCATTCGGTAGCGCCTTCGTGGCCACTCGTAACGGGAACTGACCGGCAGCGGGTCGGTTCAGTGTTGGCCGAGGCTTGCCTGCTCCCGCTGCCTGAACGGATTCGGCCAGGGAGGCTGCTCGTGGCCCCGAGCCGGCGGGCTGCCCGGGACGCAGTGGCACGAGCCCCCCGGGTCCTAATGCCTCCTGTTTTCTGATCCCGGCAGATTCTCGAGCGGGCGAGGAAAGCGTCATCACCGCGGTGGACCACGCCGTGATTGGTGGGGTGGTGGCCGTCGTGGTCTTTGCGATGCTCTGTCTCCTTATCATTCTGGGACGATACTTTGCAAGACACAAAGGTAAATGGGCAGGACGAGGGGCATCAAGACAGACCGAGCAGGAGCAGGAGGGGTTCGCGCAGACCCCGTCCCCCCACCCCATCCTGCTGAGCCGCTGTGTGCTCCGTCTTTCCCGCTGACACCATTTCCCACCTGGGGTCCATCCAGAGGCATTCCTGCCGGTCAAGAGCCGCTGAGGCAGCGGGCCTGCATTCCGCCGTTCCTCGGCCAGCTGGAGCGGGCTGCTTGACGGTAGCACAAAGGAAGGCATGTGGGGACGGGAATCGGGGCTCTCGTGCTCTATGATATCCTCAGCGAGCTCGAGAGAGGTCCCCCCTAGGATGCCTCTTCTGTGGAAGGGCAGCACGTGTGGCCAGAGCATCTGTGCTGCCTCCTTTCCCCAGAACGAGGGGCCCCACTCCTTGCTGAGGCATCATCCTGGGCAGGGCAGGGCAGGGCAGGGAGTGGCGAGGGGCTCCCCGTGCATTTCTCAGAGCTGAAATCCTGATTTCCAGGCCCTCGGCAGGATGGTTGCACGCGGAAGAGAAGCGCCTGTGTGGCCTTCCCAGCAGATGCAGGCCTGCCTTAAAGGCGCTGAGATAGGGCTGCACTCGATTGGGAAGCGTGTGGGCTTGGAAATCAGGATTTCAGCGGATGAGCCTGCTTTGCCTTCCTCCTCCTCCTGGCCTGCCGATTCTTTGCAGATGGGCTATCCGAGCCCCAAGGGCCCCCATGCCATGCCGCATGCCCGCGCCTCCATCCCTGGCACCTGCCGGTTAAAAGCACCAGGTGACGGTACGGGGCTGGCCAGACGAGCTGCAAGGAGAGGTTTTCTTTGGGCACGGTCTTCTGTTATCCTCCGAATGGCCCAAGAATTGCTCGGAGTGCATCCCGCCCCATCTCGGCCCCACAATGCTGGCTGCCCACCCCACCCCACCCCACCCCACCCAAGGCCTCATGCTGTGGGTCCCGCCACAGGGCCCACACATGAGGTCACCCCGCTCTCGTTCTAGGCACATACTTCACTCACGAAGCCAAAGGAGCCGACGATGCGGCTGACGCAGACACCGCTATCATCAACGCAGAGGGAGGACAGAACAACTCCGAAGAGAAGAAAGAATACTTCATCTAGATCGCTCTTGGTTCCCATGAGGTGTCCAACCGCGGATGGTTACTCGCCCTGCGTAGAAGAAAAAGACGGTGATGCCGGAAGTCGCTACCAGCTTATGGCGTTCTTAATTTGTCCCTTTCTGGCTCGTTCTTTCTTTCCTTCTTCTTTCTTTCCTTCTTTCTTCCCTTCTTTCTTTTTTCTTCCAGTGCTATTTACTTTCCTTCTTGTTTCAAATGAACAGTTGACGAAGCGTGTGGGAGAGTCAAGGAGTCCCTTTTGTGACAGCGTTCTTTGTCAAGGACACTCTGCTGTTCGACACCTCAGTTTCTTTGGGTTTATAATTCTCTGGCCAAGTCCAACTTGGATTTAGTTTAGTTCCATCATTTGCAGAAAATTCTGTGCCTTGTTTTCTTTCTTGTTTCATTGGAGGGCGGGATGGAGGGAGGGCGGGATGGAGAGTATATGGTTTGGTTTTGTTTTGTTTTACTCTTTTTTCCTAGCCTCTCTTGGAATTGCCTGCTGGGATCCCTTGAAAATAGATTTCTTTTTCTTTTAAGCATTTTATTTTTATTTTCTGAAAACTCCCGGGTTGTTTTTTGTTGTTGTTGTTTGAAACTGTGTCATCAGAGGAGAACCAGCACACCTTAGACTTCATTGTTTGAAATTCAGTGTATTCATAATCCATTCTACTCCCTTGTCATGAAAGCTTGGAAGAACAAACTTTTTAGGGGAATGGTTTGCAGCTGCCCTGGTTTCCAAAGCAGTGAAGACTAGCAAGGAGGCTGAAATGTTGAAAACATGCCCTGCTTCTCGCTGAGACGCAGAAGCATGGTGAGGTATCTGTGAACAAGACAGATAGCCCAGTCTGCTGTGACGTTGTGTCTTAGAGACTCCTCCGCGCAGGACACCCTCGTACCTCTCTGGGCAATAGTTGGGCAGGGAAGGCCTCGGCCTGGCTCTCTCCCCAAATGGCCCTTGTCCTCTTGGGCAAGTGGCAAATTCGGGTTGTCACAGGAGGGAAGGCAGGGCGGGAGGAAAGAGGAAGGTCTGCTCTGATCATTTCTGTTCCAAGTGATCCCATCAGCTGCTCCCAATTGGCTTCACATCGCTGTAGTTTGCTGGAAACTGAAAAATCTTTGTGATGTGGAAGGAATGTGAATCGGCTGACATGGTCCCCCCACCCACTTCTTAATATTATTATTTCTGTCTTGGTCGGTCCCCTTCTTCTCTCTGGTACTTTGTTGAGGAGGGCACCAAGAGCAGCACTGTGATAGCAGCGCACGCGAGCTGCGCCGCGCAGGCACTCGTCCTGCTGAGCTCTCCCGCCAGAGACGGCGTGAAACGTTTCATTCGTTCGGATTTGACTTGACGAAAGGCAGGAGGGGACAGAAGAGAAGCGGGCCTCGTTTCCATGCTGGACTGCTCCGCATCTCTGTTCTGGGAAGGTCAGAGCAGAGGTGGAAGACTCAGCGTGGAGGTTTTTCAGTTCCTTAATCCGAACTCTTAATGCTGAGTGTGCGTGAGCTCGTGGTATTCGTGTTTATTTCCTCCTTTCCTTGGCTCTTTACCTTCCGAACAATTGTTGGCCTCCTTCCTCAGCCTTAAGAGCCATCTGCCAATAAATTACTGATCCTTGCATGATGGTGCCATGCTAAAGCGATAGCTAAAAATAAATCTACTTTATGAAAGTTACATATCTGAAGGCTTGGCGGAAAGAGAGCCAACATGCAGGTGGATTGTCTGTCGTGTCCTTTTCTCTCCTGGGGAGGGAAACATGGCCATTTCATTCTTTGAAGGTTCAGTGGGAAGTGGGAAGGATCGGACATTTCCAAAGCATTTGGAAAGGAGAAAGATGCATAATGTGAATTGGAATTATGATAAAGCTCAAGACAGGCATTCTCATTGGGAAGACGGGCTGACTCACTGGAAAGCACTTACAGAATAAATAAGGATTTTGAATGATTTTTTATTTTTTCTGGCTGTCCTATTACTTGCAAAAATTTATTGTGCAGGTGAGGAGAATGATCATTGCTAAATGTCAGCATCTCGTTTGTTTCTTTTTTAAAAAAAATATTTATTTTTAAATTATTGGCAGAACCATTTAGATGCTACTTTCTGGTGATGGATCTGGCCCACAAAGTTACAACACATCCTTGTACAGTTTTCCCCCCTGTTCTTCTCCCATGCGACCACAAAAACGCAGTTGCCCTTTTCCTGCTCCAGCAAAGTTTTGTAACACGCGCATCTTGTTTCTAAGCCTTCTTTTTGACGTGAGACAACAAACCAACCACACCTGTTGGGCGAGGACGGTTATGAAAGGAGTGCGGGGAAGGGGGCTTTTTCTACACATGGATCACAAAAACGGCATCCTGTTTCCTGAGCAGCTCATCTTTGTTTTGAAAAGTGTGCAGTAGTGCAGTGTTCCCAATGTAATTTTGACTTAATAATGTTGACATGTCTCAGGTTCATGTGTTTTGACTGGTGTTTTCCGTCTCAGGTAGATTGCAAATCTTTTGGCCCCACGCATTGGCAGAGAACACAACGGGCAACTACAGGAAATTATGGGTTTTAGTTGTATACCGAGTTTAAAGGATTTTTGTTCCTGCAAGTAAACAGTGCACTGTTTGAAATGTATTGTTAGGTATTGATTTGTACAGGTTTAGATCACAAGGGTTTTGTTAAGAGTGCAGAAAGAACAAACTTGTTTCTTGGGGCTTTGTGGTTTTTTCGGTTCGGTTCGGTTTTTTACAAAACAAGAGAGGAAGGTTGACGAGGAAAAGGAAGGAGCGTCGTTGACGCCAAATGAGCTTGTTCTTGACTCACCTTCAGACCTTTTTACGTTTGCCCCCTTAGGCCGGTTCTGTTCAAGGTGTCCACGGACGATGTTGCAGTGTAAGAAATGCATATCCATACCTTTCCATTCACATTTTGTATTGGTTCATGTATACCATTTTTACAAAGAAAAAGAAGTACTATAAAGTATCTGTCTTCTTAATAAAAACAAATTAATGTTACAAAACTACTTTGCGGTCTCACATTGCGCTCCTTTGCCCCGGGGGTGTCCTTGGGAGAGGGCGAGGGCGAGGTGAGGCTGGTTGTGGAGGGACACCTTGGGTCCCAGGTGTGGTCTTTCTTGGGGGTCCTGGCCCCTGTGGGCCCCAGAGCAGCCGTGGGTGGTCCAGAAGGCCCTGCTGGACTGACAGTGCCTCGGGCTGCCTGGAGGTGGCTCTTCCGGTCCTCTGAGGTCCACCATGTGCCCACACAGGGGTTCCTTGTCCTGCAGGCCCACCAGGCAACCTGGAAGGCCCAGCACTGCCCATTCGGATGTGTCCCCGCCTGGCCTTCAGCAGTCGCTGTGGGTGCTGCCGTTCAGCAGAGAGATGAGAAACCATGGTCGACACGCCGGCTTGGGCCCCCAGACCGCACACAGGCCAAGCTTCTCCATGACCCCTCTTTCCAGCAATTGCTTCAGGCTAGCTGGGGGGCCCTTAACCCCAGTGGCCGAATGGGTTCTCTCTCCCACAGGGTTGCTCGTTCACGGCCGTGACTCTTGCCCGCCAGTTCTATCGTTTAGGTCAACACGAGGAGTCTGGCCAGAAGGGAAATGCCTCTAACTGACGGGCTTGCTGAACGGTGTTTTGTTTGTTCTTCCTTGGTTGAGTGTGTAGTATTTTTAAAGCTTCCTCTCTTCCTGCTGAATTATTTGTGAAGAATCGCTCTTCATTGTGGCTGTTAGGGGAGATTTCCCCCTGAAGTCCTCGTGGCTGCCTTGCCTTATTTGGAAAGAAGATAAAAAGAGCCCCGTTTCCTCATGGGCAGGCAACGGAGTTGTTAGTTTTTCACTTTTGTTTTTGGCTGCTGACATTTCCCCGTACATTGGCAGGTGGCCCTAAGGTGCTGTGTGGTCTCTAATTGATGCCATTGTTCACCGGCTGTTGGAAGAGGCTCGGCAGAAGAGGTTCATTTCCTTGGAGAGACCTTGCACTCGCACTTTCCTCTGGAACACCTCCGACACAACACAGCTGTTCTTCTCAGCCTCTTTAAAAGCCAAGTCCCCGTAAATACTTTTACTGTCACGTTGCAAGTGGAAGAGGAAGGGGCCAAGACGGCCCTGCCTGCCCATCAGGAGTTTGCCTCCCAGCTGGCCAAAACCTGACACTGCCCTCTTTTGGTTGACCCATGGCCTCTGCAAAGAGGAGCAGGGAAAGGGTGCTGGTTTGCTGGCTGGCAGATGTCCTTCTCCTGAAGCAACCCGAGTGATTTCCTGGGCTGCTTTTGGCCCTGTGTTTCTGCTAAGCCTCTTCCCTCATGGCGTCCCCTTCTTCATCGTTTTGCCTGCAGGGGCAGGGCAGGTTGGTCCGGCACCAAACCCGGTCTGACTTCTTTCCCAGATCTAGATAAAATTGAGAGCAGAGCCAACTCGGCCTGTCCCCTGGACCATTCCTACAAAAATGGCCGGTGTTCCGGCTAACCCTATTGCTTGGAGCACTTCCAGTTGCGCTCGAGGATGGGCAGTGTAAGAACAGCCCTCTTGGGTCCTCCCATCCCAGCGTCCCATCTATGCTAGATCCCAGATCAAGGTCTTGGAAGTAGCCGGCTCCATATCAGCTGCTCAGTTCCTCTCCGCTGCCCCTGGGTGTGCGCTAGGGCCATTTTAAGACTAGAGTCTGCCTCCTTGGACCTGTTAGACCGCCCCTGTCAGAAGGCATGACTCCTTCAGGCAAACTGGGAGAGCCTTTCCCTAGCATTGGTGCCCCCTGCATGGAACTGGGTAGCTCATCACACGCTCGAGTGTCGGCTTTCTCCAGCTGAACAAAGCTCACTGAATTTCACATTTGCAAATGACAGATAGAACCGTGGAAATAAGGCAGGCGTGGTGGTCTGAGTAAGCAGGATATTGTCTCCTGTTCAGAACAATCTAGTACAGGGTCATTACATCAGCACTCTGGACGCCCTCCCTGTGGAAACAGCTCCCCATTCGCTGCTTATTCCATTGGCCCCACATGCCAGCAAGGGGAGTAGCGTGTTGTTTGGGGGGGGGGGGTGTACTCCGTGAAGCACACAGGTGTGCAAGGGGAGGAAAAAAGCACAGCATGGATTCATCGGTTGCATTCCGTGTCCTTGGATTTCCCTGGCAGTTCCCTGGAGAAAGTGCAACAATCCGAGTGACCTTATGGGGAAGCGTCTCCAGGTGATGGTAGGCTGTGAATTGTGACTGCGTCCTGATCAAGATTACGCTCCTGCTGGGATCACGGTGGACAAGCTAGCTTTGGATCCAGCTCACCATATCAGTTACATTCTCCAGCTCAAGTTCGTTAGACCAAGCCAGGAGCTGGAAATGAGGGTGGCGTGTCCTCGTGTGGGAGCTGCATGTGCAAGATCTTCACGGCTTCTAACCAGGGACCAACATCATTTTGATGGCTGGTTGTTTTTCATGGGCTTAGCTATGAAAGGACAATTCGCCCCATGTCCGTACCTAATCCTCAAAGTCGTGGGGTTGCCACTGGGAAAGCAAGAGCGTCGCGATTGGCGGGGCAGGGGATCAGAGCCAGCTGCCGCTCGCTAGAACTTGTCTGCCGCCTCCTTAACATGCACAGCGCCTCCCTGCCTCATATTCCCAACCTGATAGCCTTAAATCTTCCTTAAGTGATATCTTCTCAGGTTAATTAATCTCCAGGCTGAAACTTGCTGTGAGCAGCAGGCAGTCTGTCCCAAAGTCAGTGATGTTACGATTGCATCTCCTAATACTGTTTATCCTGCATTAGTGTTTACTTAAGGAGAAAATTGATCTGTAATTGATATTTCAATCTTCCAGAGCTGACGTTGGGGAAGGCTTAAAAGCAGCCTTCAGGAGGAGGCAGAACTTTCAAATCCAGGATTCAGGCAGGGAATACTCGCTTGTGTGTTCTCCCCCTTCGCCTGCCCTCACAAGCTGCAGAATAAGCTTTGGGGAGGGTTTGCTTTGTGTTGGTTCTGTGTGGCTGGAAAGGTTTAGACTTGTTCTTAGAAGAGGGAGAGTGCTTGGACACAGCTAATATGTCCGGAGGGGTATCTGAGTTGCTGTGCTCCAAGATCTGCATGCCACGGAATGACAGTCGGTGGGAAAAGGTCCAGCACGTTCGTGTCCTGGTTGTAGAGTTCCAGGGCCATCTGATTGGCCTGTCTGTGAAGCAGGACACACGGCTGAAAGGACCTTTGGATCTGATCCAGCAAGGTGGCTTCCAGCGTTCCAGCTTTTTCCACTGCCATTGCTCATCTTTCCTGATCTGCATCGCTGAAAGGGGTGCAAGACCAGTGTTCCTGTGCTACACCTAAAAAGTCGGATCGCACCTCCAGAAGATGGATGGCAGTGACAGCTGTAGCGCTCTCTCTGAGATGAAATGAGCAAGAACTTTCACATCCCCAGAAGGAACAATAAGGAGGTTGGGAAAATTGGCTGGATACAAATTGCCTCTCATCCGGATGTTCTGCACTGCTTGGCAGAACGGCTTCCATGGAACATCTTCCCTTCCCCAAACCCGCAACGTGCCCAAGTGTATTCTGTTGATACCACTCAAATCCAGACCATGTTGTTCTTTGGCAGAACCGTGCAGTATTTTCACTCCGATTCTCGTTTCCAAGAAACACCTGAAGTTTATGCGGCTGCCAGAGCAGAACAAACAGAACTGTAACCTAATCTGCCTGCAAAGTATCTTCTTTGGATGATCCCCAGCAGGGCTGTGTAATTCCATTAAAGCATCCCCACAGATTGCACACACACACACACACACACACACACACACACACAGAGAGAGAGAGAGAATCTTCTCCTTTTCTTGGAACGTACGACGAGCACCCATCTAGTCCAGCATTCTGTCCACGCTGGCTAGCCAGATGCCCCACTGGGAAACCCACTTGTCGGGCAGGTCTGCAGCACCCCCCCCAACCCGCACTTCTCAGGAACTGGTGTCCTGGCAGCCTCAGTCCCAGAGGCAACGGGGAGCCCCGGGGACTACACAGTCCTGGAAGCCTTCCCCAAGGATCTAGCCCATCTCCTTTCAAAGCTCTCCCACTTGGCGGTCACCAGGACATCAGCTTCACGGGGTGAACCTGTTGAGGGGGTCTAGCAGGCTTGCATCGAGCTGCCCTCCGCAGCCCCAGGGTCCCTTCGGGGTCAGCACGGCTGGCTCCACCCTCTGGCGAGACTCCCGCCACTTGCATTTCAAAAGCGATTGTCCAAGAAGCTTAAATCCATCATTCCAGGATGCCTGGGTCCATCAGGGGAAGGGGGCCTGGTGGCCGCCTGTGGAAAAGGGCCGTTCCTTGCCCTGCATCCTGGGGGCTGTGGGGCAAAGGGGGCTGGCAGACCGCAGAGGGGCGTGCGGGGGGGGGGGGAGTTGTTGCAAGAGCGAACCAACGTGCCTCTTCTGCCACTCAGAAGAAAAGGAGGACTCACTCGTCTGGTCCAGGCTGAATTTGCAGGCCGGAGGCTGCGAAGACACAAATGCCCCCGGTGGGAGTTCCACCCGCCTCGGCTGGGCTGCTCACACCCTCTGTTTGGACGGACCTGGCAGCGGCTGGAGGCTGGCCTGCCTCCCCCCCCCCACGCAGTCCAGCCCAGGGACCTTGTGCATGAACAGCCTGCTGCTTCATGCACTTCGCTGTGTCTTCCACGAAGGCACCACGGCATGTGCTGTACTGTGCCGGAGGCGTTCTCTGCTTCCTGCTGCTCCCCCTCCCCACAAACTTGACCCCCGCGGCTCAGATTGCATGCCGTACCAAAACCGCCGCCCGCCTGCCAGAGCTCTGAGCTTCGGTTCATACAGCAGCTTTGCTTCCAGCCATTGTCCTGGTGCTTTTCAGCCACCCCGGCTTCCTGACTTGGCGCCCGGCGAAGCAGCCGCAGGCCGTGGCTTCCTCCTCGAAAGACAAGCCAGGTATCTAGTGAGGAAAGTGCGCGCAGAACAGCTTTCCGCTCCTAAGCCACCTCTCACTATCCACTGCGCAAAGCCGGAGTTGGCGTGGTCGCTGCCCCGGAGTTCG